AAATTGATGCTTGCAACAATTCTTTACCAAGAAATACGTTTATGGTAAAATTTTGGAAAATGGGCGTGGCACCGCCCACTTATGATCACATATAAGTATATCGGTAACCGTTCTACCAATTTGTACCAAACTCGGTGTGGTTATTGTGCTTGCCACATATAAGCAAAACGTTGAAAATTATTGAAATCGGACTAAAATTACGGCCGCTTTTCATATAACGGTAAATTTCAGAAATGCTCGAAACTTCAATATTTCGAAATTGAAGGACGCTAATTTACTCAAAATTGATACACCTCGGCATACCATCTAGCGGAAGGTTTCGGAAGGGTGAAAAAACATATATTTAATACTTGCGCCGGGTATTTAATGTTCGGCTCCGCCCGAACTTAGACTTTCTTACTTGTTTAATATTACCTTAATTATTCCTTAAAATTATCGAAATGGGTGCACTTTAACGTATAGCTCCAATACAACTGATTACTCAGATATGTGTTTTTGCGCTATAACTCTAACTTCATATCTGAATAATAAATTGTATGCGTGCTATATGTTAAAGTGAACCTATACTAAATTTTTACCTATTTAATTGGAGAAGTTATAACGCAAAACAGCATCTCTGTACAATCAGTTGTATGGGATCTAGATTTTAGAGTGAACCGATTTCGATGATTTTATGATACGGTGAAGGAAATATTAAAATACAAGCGTGTGCAAAATTTTAGTAAAATATCTTCAAAACTGAGAGAGTTTTTTTATAAAATAGTTCAAATTTAAGCAGAGATTCAAGTACCGCTATCTCCAAAAGTGGAGATAATCGGCCAAAACTGGGGACGCCATTGAATTTAAAACGCTCCAATTAAGTAAGAGCAACTATCAGAACCTTTGTCGAAAAAAAACTGATTTGATACCACGCTCGAAATATTCTGACTACAAGAAGGAGCATAATTAAAAGTACTAAATCGGGGTTTTTACACACTTCTAGAGAACATTTTTTTGAAGCATTTTACAGGTATGTGCAACGTTATAAGGACTAGTAGTTATAAAAATATTTAGATCGTTTCGACGTATTTTCCAAATGTGCCTTCAATTAAGGTGACTTTGACATACTTGCCATTTCGTTGTTTTGTAATGCACACTTTTCTTACCTACTACATATGAAGTATACACATAAGTGCTAAATGCCCATTAAATTTCAAGTCAGAATATTGGGTGCTTCAAAAGTTATGACATAATTAATTTTGCCCCTCTTAAAAATTACAAAAAACATTCCCTTGTTTTCATTATTTTTTTTAATTTAAACACCTATAATTCAAAAGTTATGCAGCAAATTGATCCAATTGATTGATTGAGGCTTCAAGTGTATACGTCAATCAATTATATCTAAAAGCAACCTGCTTGATATAGTTTCCCACAGCGAAAATAAAGTGAATTTTCAGAGCTACATATATATTTATAGTATTCATCACGAAATTGTACTAAAAAGTACTGCGTAGTAGGAAAGTATATTGTAAACGAAATTGTATCAAAAAAGTACAATTGTACCAAAAATACCAACACTGATACATTCGATGATTTATTGAGCGAAGCTCGCGAAGCCGAGTTGACCCTGCGAGAACACAAAACGCCGACTGTGAACGCTGATAAAGCTGTCCTTATCACAAGTGGTCCAGTACGTTGCGGTTTTTGTCGCAAAAAAGGTCGTAATGCTGATGTATGTTTTAAGAAGAAGAATGAAGCAGCAAAACAAGCTTAAACAAAAGCGATTGCACATGAAATAGTTACGAATCCAACGTTAACATGCGCGGTTGCAATGCACCCGGTGTTACACGCGCAAACTGCCCCAAATGTTCAAACAAACCATCTACGGGTCATGGTGCGGTTAATTTTAATTCGTTAACAATTCCAATTGGAAGAAACATTGCAATCGCAAATGTACAATTGTTTGGTCTGCCTGGACAGGTTTATTTTGATTCCGGAGCGCGAACAAGTGTAGCCAGCGCAAATTTGAAACGGATAATGGATTTTAAAGGTTGCGTATACCAAATTCTTGAGTGCGAAATCACTCTTGCCGACGGTAGCACGTCACTCCAAAAATGTCTTATGACTAAATGCGACATGGTCGCTGTTTAAATATTCGGTTTATGGTGTTACCGGATGGAATTGGTAATCGAACGTTGATTGGCGCAGATTTCTTGGAGCAAGCGGGAATAGTTTGGAATATGGGTCAAAGATATTGGTACTTTGAAAGTAATCCAACACAGCATTTTGACTTCGCCGAACAACTGCCACTCGAAATAAATGTTGTGGAATGAGTGAAAGTATGCGCAGTCGAAACCAAACGCAAACTAGAAAGCTTTTGAAGAGATTGAGAAGCCAAAAGTCTATATAGGCAAATCTAAAAAACAGGTAACCTTTGTGTTATTTAGCTTTATTTTCACTGTTGTAAACTCAATCAAGCTGGTTGCTTTTGAATATAATTCATTGGCGTATACTTGAAGCCCCAAAATCAATCAATGGATCAATTTGCTGCATAACTTTTGAAATATAGGTGTTTAAATTAAAAAAAAATAGTGAAAACAAGTGAATTTTTTATGTAATTTTTAAGAGGGGCACAATTAATTATGTCATAACTTTTGAAGCACACCATATTCTGATTTGAAATTAAATGGTCATTTAGCACTTATGTGTACACTTCTGTACTGTAGTAGATAAGAAAAGTGTGCATTACAAAATAACGAAATGGCAAGTAACTCAAAGTCTGTAGCTCCACATTTCACAATTTTCACAATTTTCGGTTTATTGCGTATAGGTTTGGAAGCATTTAATTTTAAGAACTTTTTAAGTATGTATTGTATTCTACAAACAATTGCGAATAATTTGATACCTTAGCAAGAGGAATGCTTTCAAAATAAACTAACTTTTAAAGATAAAATATTCTGCGATCTTGAGCGTAATTTTTATTTCAAAAACACCTTAATTGAAGGCACATTTGGAAAATACGTCGAAACGATCTAAATCTTTCTATAACTGCTAGTCCTTATAAAATTACATATACCTGTAAAATGCTTCAAAAAAATGTTCTCTAGAAGTGTGTAAAAAACCCCGATTTAGTACTTTTAATTATGCTCCTTCTGTAGTCAGAATATTTCGAGCGTGGTATCAAATCAGTTTTTTTTCGACAAAGGTTCTGATAGTTGCTCTTACTTAATTGGAGCGTTTTAAATTCAATGGCGTCCCCAGTTTTGCCCGATTATCTCCACTTTTGGAGATAGGGGTACTTGAATCTCTGCTTAAATTTGAACTATTTTATAAGAAAACTCTCAGTTTTGAAGATATTTTACTAAAATTTTGCACACGCTTGTATCATCGAAATCGGTTCACTCTAAAATCTAGCTCCTATACAACTGATTGTCCAGAGATGCTGTTTTGCGTTATAACTTCTCCAATTAATTAGGTAAAAATTTAGTATAGGTTCACTTTAACATATAGCACGCATACAATTTATTATTCAGATATGAAGTTAGAGTTATAGCGCAAAAACACATATCTGAGTAATCAGTTGTATTGGAGCTATATGTTATTGTGAACCTATTTCGATAATTTTAAGGAATAATTAAGGTAATATTAAAAAACGGTTATGTGCAAAATTTTAATAAAATAACTTCAAAACCGAGAACGTGCCAATTAAGTGAGTTCAACTTTCAAAATCTTTGCTCAAAGTTTACAACTTGAACAGCGTAATTTGAACCCAGCTTATTCTTTTGTTTTCTATTTCATGTTTATTCCTCGTCTAACTTTTGAAGCACTTGATGAAAATGAATTACACTTTTATTAGTCTATTTATTAAGAGAATACGAATAAAACGATATATAAAACATAGGTGTGCTCACAAATTTAAAAATTAAAATTTTTATTTTGAAAGTGTACCTATTTTTTAGATTTGCCCATATGTCTGAGTTTGAATATTACGATACAAAGTATTTTTATAGGTGCCATTCCACCCAACATGGTTACGCCCGAACGATGCAAAGACCCTAGCTTGTCTAACGGTGTCGTTTTGAATAACACTGTCACTGATAATATTGATTTATTTTCATATGACTTTCGATTCCTTAAAGAAAGTGATGGCGTAGGGTTGGAAGTTGCAGAAAAGATTCGGCATGATAACGTTCTCCAATCGCATGCAAACGTTTTTATTGCGTCGCGCCTACGCCATATGGACAGCATTTTATCGATACTGGTGAAGACGAGCTCATTGCATCAGCTGCGTACCGATTGTCGTTTGCGAAACTAAAAGAACCAAAAAGCGAAATTAACAAGATGCTCGAAAATGATCATCACCTGTTGTTATGGTGCCTAAGAAAGACGGTGGTACTCGTGTCTGCGTAGACTATCGCAAGCTAAATGCGATAAAAAAACCAGACCGATACCCGTTGCCTCGAATGGATGACCTGTTGCAACCTGCAAAGAGTACTAAATTCATGACAACTTTAGATCTACAAAGCGGGTATTTTCAAGTTGCAATTGCAGAAAAAGACCAAGACAAAACGTGCCTTATTACGCCTTTCGATACATATCGGTTCAGGAGGATGCCTTTTAGTCTTCGCAATGCACCTGCTACATTTCAGCGATTGATTGATCGGTTCAAGACAGCCTTGCCAAATGTGCACATTCTAGCATATCTTGATGATATCATTATTTGCTCGCCATCGTTTACAGTGCACTTAAATGACTTGAACGATGTATTTGTAAAGCTAGAGAAGTTTAAGTTGCATGTTAATTCTGGCAAATGTCAGTTTTGTTGTGCCAGTGTCAAGTACCTTGGCCATATTATAACAACCACAGGCATACAAGTTGATCCAGGAAAAACTCTGGCGATCATACATCGACGAGAACCACGAAACATTAAAGAACTGGTATCATTCATACGCAGGAGCCGAAGTATTATTGATGTCCGACCACCAACCGCTAATGTGGCTGTAAACAACAAAATCACCGTCGGGCCACCTTGCAAGGTGGGCATTGCAAATACAGCAATATAACCTAAAGATTTACTCTTCGCCAGGGAGAGCAAATTCTGTTGCCGATATGCTATCATGACCGCCCTGCGTTGAGAAAGATAACTCTGTGAATTGTATTTGTGTTTTCCAAGCCGACTTTCCACGTAAAAAGGCAGATGAGTTACGAGAAGGTCAACTTAAAGATAACTATTTGAGAAACATAATTACTTCTTTAGAAGAAGCTGACGAAAATGCAATCCTATGGTGCAATCATGGCTACGTTCTTAACAACGGCGTATTATATTAGGGGAGCTCACCTTGAGTAGCATTTTGGGTGTAAACTTGATGCTCTTCCAACAGCAAAATACGTGCTAGATTGCTACGCAGCAACTTTACACCTAAGATGCTACGGAAAGTGAGTACCGCTATTGTTATGCGAATGATGACTCAGATGACGCACAACTCGTGATACCTGATCACGAGCGTGTGAACATCCTGAAGACGCATCACGACGACAGAACTGCCTGTCACTACGGAGCAGAACGAACCATAGCACGTATTTTAAGCCGCTACTTCTGGCCAGGAATGCGCACAGAAATCACGAAGTATGTAAAGAAGTGCGTTGAATGTGAACGGTACAAAGCAAGTAATATGAAACCAATAGGGTTGCTTCAAACAACAAGCAGCAAACAGCGATTCGAAGTTATTTCAGTAGATCTATTTGGTCCCTTACCAAGAAATGAAGATGGTTTTCAATGGATCTTGGTTGCGGAAGATGTTGCCACCCGATGGGTCGAATTATTCCCCATTAGAGAAGCAACTGCCGAAAATTGCGCTAAACTACTGGTTGATGAGATCTTCCTACGATATGATGTCCCCAGGCGTCTTAAGTCCGATAATGTAGTGCAATTCGTGTCGGCAGTTATGCAACAAATAGTTTACTGCTTGGGCATTCGTCAAGTTTTACACCGGTTTATCACCCCGAAAGCAACCCAGTTGAACGGAAAAACAGGGATCTTAAGGCTCAACTGGTAATTATCGTTCAAAATCAAAATAACGTATGGAATATTGGTTTACACTCAATACAGTTTGCAATGAACTCAGCGAAATGTCAATCCACCGGCTATACAGTAGCTTATCTCACCTCTGGAAGAGAGTTGTGCACAATTGATGACGTAGAGCGCGATATACGAACAAGAACAGATAATCAGCCCTATTCTGCATTTCGAATCGAAATTTTCTCCTTTTGGCAACTTTGGTATTCTGCATTCCGTTTCCTTTCGATCGATCTTCGAAATTTACGATTGTACCTATTCTACATTTCGATCGTAGTTACGTTTTTCTAAGTTGCAAATTTGTTGACGGAGAACGTTTCGATTGTTATTTTCGTGGGTTTACATATTAAAATTTTATAAAAATAATTAAGTCAAATATACTGTGCATGATTGTAAAAGTCGTCATAAATGAATTTTCTCGATTTCTGTGTTTTCGCGAGCTGCAATACGGGCAATACGAAAAATTGGCTCAAATAATGGCAACCAAAAGGGATATTGCGCAGGGTTTTTCAAAGAGGAAGTCCAGGCGTTTTTGTTTTCATTATCTATAAATAAGACTGCGAAATACACTGAATACAATTTATTCTTTTTATATAACATACATACGTACATAAAATGTAGAGTTACATAAAAAAGATGTTTTTATTATTGTACTCGTTTTTACTAACTTTTTAAAAAGAGGTGTGCATGTAGTGTCGAATACGATTTGCTATGGAAGGATAAGCTTTGTTCTTCCCCTCCTCCTGACGGCTTTCGAAATGGAATTCATTTGCGTTCAAGTTTTCCACTTTGTACTAAATGCAAATATTGTGGAGTGCTCAAACAACGTTTATAATTTCACTGGCTTTGAGCGGTGAGAATGCAGTTCAAGATGAATTTCTTATAATTCTTCACTCATCTGAAAAGGATCAAACATGTCTCTAAATCTCCGCCTTTCAACTTTCGCATCAGCAATCTGGGACTCGTTCTGCTTTTCAAGCAATAGAATTATGTTTCCACTTTAATTAAGAACAAACGAAATTTTATTTTGAAATAAGAATGAGTAAGATATATTTAGTTATTTTAAATATTTACAAATTTTAACTTCATAAGCTGCTATAGTTTGGTGCAATTATTTCTTTTGTTTTGTTTCGATTTTACACATTCCTAGGCAACCAGCTGATTTCGAAGATGTTTTCGCTCTTCCTCTTCTTCTTTCGATTGGAGCGTAACTCAGAATACCAAATTACGATTGTAGCGGAGCGGAATGCGGGAACGTAATCGAAATGCAGAATAGGGCTGAATGAGGATCTTGTTCAACAAATTACACCGTAAGCATTGCAGACAAAATTTCAAGAACGCTCGAGAGGTTGAACAGAAGATGCAAGGCCGCAACAAAATCTACGCCGATAAACACCGACAACCGCAGGTTAAAATTGTAGTAGGAGACGAAGTCCTAGTTACAACTCACGTATTAAGCCAAGCAACGAAGGGAATCACACCAAATTCGTACCAAAACGTGATGGTCCTCATATTGTTATACGCAGAATTGGTGCATCTACATTTGAAATCGCATCAAAAACTGAACCAGGAGTACCACTTGTAGCATACCACGCCTCTGCCTTAACGCTGTACAAAGGTCCCAATGCCAACGAAAAACCAGTTCCAGTCCAACCAATACGTAAAAGAGGAATACCGAGAAAACGCCTATAAATGTGTGATGACGGTTCCGTTTACTCCACGTTCATCAAGGGGGAGACTAATTCGGCATCAACACCACCTTGTATAAATTCGCCTTGGCTTTTACTTTTGGAACTCATAACAAAAGCCCCACGCTGCAACTATAAAAGCGTGAACCCTCGAGCGATCGTCTTCACTTGCGATAGACGTTCACTCGAGAGGCAAGTCTTGTGTAATTAATCGTGGGCTGCGGTGATGGCCCGATTACTTATACAAACATACATACACACATTATTTCTAGTATTACATTGGACGAACAGCGATAAGCTGGTCTCTAATGATAGTATTTTACAAATAAATTGAACAGTGCCAAACTGGTCGCTAATAGTAATTTTTCTATATTTAGGGCCGTTTTCTAATGTAAGCAGTAAAGCTGACTTTACTAACAGGGCAGATAATTTGTTCCTCACTTTAAAGTGCGTTGTAAGTATTTTCGTTTTCTTATCTTACCGGTAAAAATAAATTTATTCATCTGAAATTACGGTAACGCGAAAGTGAAAGTTGACTACATTCGTCATAAAATTTCAAAGGTCGGCAATACAACATACGCAAATAAAGAACAAGAGCCACTGTTAGCAAAAACCCAAACCTTGGTTGAAATATCTAATATATCTGACCCACGAACCAAAACCAAACCAAAATTTAAAGTTGGTTACCAATCTTTAAAGGCTACATCGGGTGAGCAGCAATTTATCGATTCGAGAAATTAATGCGCTGATGAGGGAACGAAAACTCGTATATCGAGGCGATAAAGTGGCCGGTAAATAATCAGTGCCAACAGTGCCAATCTGGTCGCTAATTTAGGAAAATAATGCCTACGATTTGATGTTATTTAATTCCTGTGTGAATAATTGAATTTGTTTAAGGTTTAACATTCATGTATTAAACGACCCACGCTCAACAACTTTTTTAAATAAACTGCAATATATATTCTGCATAATAATTTTATAATGCACATTTTTTAAGCCTGATCTGTTTTGTCATCTGAGGGGACTTTTTTAAAAAAGTTCTTTAAGAAACTATTTTTATTCATAAAAAACTCCATTTTTTGGAGGTATTTTCAAATCGGTCCAGCTCGCTTATATCTTAATATTTTTCCGAAGTATTTTGGTGGACGTCTTAAAATATAATACATTCCCGGCGGAAAAACCTCAACTTTTTTTGGTGATGCAGTCTGATGTAAATAATTGTATCAATACCAACCTGAAAAGTGCGAGTGGCATAATATCGTAATGTTAATGGTAATCGTCTTCTGGTTGGCTTATCCTACTCAGAAGACACAAAGGCAAAATAACATTCTTAACAATTTCAGGCGTAAATCTATATCGTGCGTGGAATTCCCGATTTGAGTACTTCGTGAAAGGATCAGAAGAATCTCGGAGATAGCGCCTCAATCTCACTTCCCTATGCCTTCTTACATAGTCCGAAAAGTCCATGAAGTCTTCTACATCGGACATTTTTCCACTATTTTAAAAATCTAACACAAATTCAAACGAAAATAATAAAATAATAAAGAAACGTTGGGCAAAAGAAGAAAAAAAAGTAATTTTGTTGCACACAAACGCAATCGATCGACTAGCCTACAACAACAACAATAATTAATATTAAATTCGATCAACAGCTTACTTAAAAAAATTAAAAAAATTGTCAAAATCGCTCGTTCAAAGGTTAAGTGAAGGCTTTATCTTTACTCAACTTCAGTGTTCATTGGGCGCGTTTATAAGACGTAGCTGTTGCCCAACCATTGGCTATTTGTCTTAGAAACGCACAGTTGAGTAGTTACGCTCAGCCCAACAGTTGACAACTTTCCGCCATTTTTTCCAGCGGAAAATTTTTACGCTACCTGAACTCAACGTGTTTGGCTTTGCCTAAACCACAGTATATAAAGTAATAAACCTTTTTGAGTACTCCTCGGGGGTAAAATTTGATCAGGGTTGATAATGAGAAGGAGCAGGAATTTGCCGATTCAGAGTTGCATACAAATTTACTCTGGTATGAAAGGGAGCAACAACCGTACTATGGCAGAGTGGCACATGTAATTTTGTAAACAAACACTTTTCTTATAATTATAAGAGATAATTGCTATTTTTTGCAATATTCTGATATCCAGCGTGTAGCCAGAGGCAGTGGCATGTGAGCCTCACTAAAATCTACTCATCATGTTGGAGCAGCTCCGAGTAATGGACCATTGAATGTGCTGGCTGAACTTATGACCACCATAACCTTCGGAGTCTCCAGCAAATGCGTGTCCTGATAGATAGATAGATAGTTGAGTTGAGGTATGCACTGCGACCAGGAGATCTATTGTGCCCTCCTCCTCCTTATAACACCTCGCTTAGTCCTAGTTCCCGTAGGAAGCCCCAAAGATCCTTCGGTGACAACGAGTGTATATGTTCCGGCTGCGGGCATAGTGACCCGAGGTATTTCTCCCGTCTTCTCGCCATGGCGTCGCAATCGAGAAGTAGATGCTCAGAAGTTTCAGCTGCGTTATCACAGAATCGGCAATCATTGTTGGACCAGATCCCGAGTTTGTGTAGGTGACTTCTTAATCTACAGTGACCTGTTAAGATACCTGTTAGAACTCTTAGTTTATACTTTGGGAGATTAATAAGTTTATCATATCTTTCCCTATTGTAACCTCCCAGTAGTTTCTTTGCCTGTCGCAGCCCAGGGGTTTGGTCCCAGTGCTGTTCTCTGCTCGTTCTCTTTTCTCTCCTAAGCTCTTCTCCGATGGTGTGCGGTCCTATCGCAAAGAAGGGCTCGGGGCCTATTGGTGTTGTTGCTGCCGCCTTCCTGGCAAGCGTGTCTGCCTCCTCATTACCTTCTATGCCCTTGTGACCCGGCATCCAGAGGAGGAAGACCTTGTTGGCTGCCGCCAGGGCGTTAAGCCTCCCGACGCACTCAAGAACCATTGCAGACTTGATTTCATTAGAGATAAGGGCTCTGAGTGCGGGTTGACTGTCGCTTAATATTAATATATTTTCACTTCCGCTGAAGATTGATCTCTGCACAAAGACTAATGGCGTAAACCTCCGCCTGGAATATGCTGGGCAGTTTGCCCATGGGAACCGAGACCCTTGTTCTTGGCCCAAAGATTCCAGCTCCAATGCCTTCGGGTGTTTTTGAGCCGTCTGTGTACCAAATAAGGGGGCGGAGATGGGAGTATTTATTTAAATTTACGCCATTCCAACTTGCCTTATTCCCTAATTCTACTTTGAATGTTCTTTCGAAGCTAATGATTCTGCAGATATCACCGACTTCCGTGCCATCGAGGGCTATAGTTCTCATTCCCGGTAGGGTTCTTCTTCTTGTGAATGGGATAATGGCCGTTTTTGTTGGGTTAATTTTGAGACCCTTATCCATACACCATTTCTTTGTTATTCTTAGGGCCCTCTGGACTATGTCACAGAGGGTATTCTCGAACTTTCCTCTTGCTATTATGACGATGTCATCCGCATAGCCTTGGCATCGGATTCCATTATCTGATAGCATTTGCAGGAGTTCATCTACTACTAGGCTCCAAAGGAGGGGTGATAAGACGCCCCCTTGTGGGCACCCTTTCGTGGTTTTTATTTGCAAAGACTTATTCCTTATTGTGGTCTCTGCTATTCTTGTGCGCAATAGCGCTTCTATCCCCCTGCGAATAGGTGCTTGTACTCCTCTTTTCTCTAGTGCCTGCCCTACCGCCTCATGCGAGGTGTTGTCGAAGGCCCCTTCTATGTCAAGGAAGGCACAGAGAACGACCTCCCCAGATTCAAATGCACTTTGGAGTTCGGTAGTTAGCTGATACAGGGCTGTTTCTGTAGATCGTCCTGCTCTATACGCGTGTTGGCTACTGTGTAGCGGGCTAACTTCCAGAGTGTTTGATCGGATTTCATTGTCAATGATTTTCTCCATCGTCTTTAGTACAAAAGAGATTAAACTTATTGGTCTGAAAGATTTAGCTAAGGAGTAGTCCTTTTTGCCTATTTTGGGTATAAATGTTACCCGGGCTCTTCTCCACACTATTGGAATGTAGGCTAGGGCTAGGCTATCCTTCATTATTTCTACTAAATGTAGGGTGACTAGATCTTCTCCCTCATGCAGTAAGGCCGGATAGATCCCGTCCATTCCCGGGGACTTGTATCGGTCAAATGAGCCCAACGCCCATTTGACTTTGGCTCGGGAGAATATGCTCCTCGCAGAGCCCCAGTCATCTGGGGTTGGTCTAAATGTTCGATCAGTTCCCTCCGTTGTCAGGTTGGAGGAGTCCGGAAAATGTGCAGAGAGTAAAGCGCGTGCTCGTTCAACTTCGCTGCCGGTGTAAGTGCCGTCCGGCAGTTTGATTGCTAGTTGGGTCTCTATCCTGTCCTTTGCTAGAGCCTTGTGAAGTCTTGCCGCTACAGGAGTGGATGTAATGTTCTCGCAAAAGCTTCTGAAACTTTCCCTCTTCGCTTTCCTTATCTCTTTATTGTATGAAGTTAGGCTGGATGTGTAAACCTCCCAGCACCTAGTTCTCTTGGCTATATTGAATTGCTTTCGCACGACCTTCCTGAGTGCTGAGAGGTTGCGGGACCACCAAGGAG